TGTAAAAAAGAAGGAACTCTTACCATTTGCAACAGCATGGATGGAACTGGAGAGCATTATGCTAAGTGACATAAGCCAGTCAATGAAGGAAAAATACCACACGATCTCACTCATTCATGGATAATAAAGACCACTATAAACTTATGAACAATAATAGATACAGAGGCAGAGCTGCCTCAAACTGATTGTCAAACTGCAGCGGGAAGACCAGGGAGGGTTGGGGGGCAGGAGGGAGGGGGGTAAGAGATCAACCGAAGGACTTGTATACATGCATATAAGCATAACCAATGGACATAAGACACTGGGATGTAGGGGAGGCCAGGGGATCGTCAAGGGCGGGGGAAAAAAAGGACACATAGGTAATACCCTTTTTAATACTTTAAGCAATAAAGAAAAAACAACAACAACAACAACAAAAAAACGGCTCTTACCTCATCTCTCCAAAGACTATGATTTGGAGGAGGAAAGAAGGAGCAATTACTTATAGACCTTGAACAATATTTCCAGGCAAAAATAAGCCAAATAAAAATTTTCCCTGAGCCAGAAAAAAAAAAAAGATTAGAAATGTGTATTACAATCCCTAGAACAACCAATGAAAAACTATAAAAAAGATATAGGTAAAATCACAATAGATAAATTGAAATGAAATGCCCTAAAAATGTTCAAATAACCCATGAGAAGGCAGGAAAGCAAAATCAGAGAATGAAAACAGGATGGTGTTTTGCAGGGGGGAGGAGTAGGGGTGGAAGAGGGTATAGGGGGTATAAATGGTGATGGGGAAAAAAAAGAAAACAATGACCCTGATAGGCTGCAAAATCCTAAACAGCTTTTTGAAACAGGAGGAAAAAAGATTAAATGCAGCTTGTTATGGTTTGTGACAAGTGTTAAAAAAAAAAAAGAAAAGACAAGATAATGGGTCCTTCCCTAGAGTCTCCGGGAGGAGTGCAGCCCTGCCAACACCTTGAATTTAGGACTTCTGATCTCCCAAACTGTGAGATAATAAATGTGTGCTGTCTTATGCCCCTGTCACTGGTAACTTGATAGGACAGTTGGAAGAAACTAACACAGCTGCCGAGAGATCTGAGAGGAGTGTTAACTAACCAGCAGTGGAGGTTAGGGGAGAGCCAGGAAGGCACCAGCAGAACAGTCAGCTTTAAAACTCCACCAAGTTTGGGGAGCACTGAAGCTGAGGCCAGTGGGAACTTTCCAGTCCCCTTTTCCTTCGCTAGTACCAGCCCTAGAAAGGTCCTCAAACCCAGGGTTGTGAGATGGTGGAGGGAGAGTAGCCAGAGTAGATGAGGAAGGGGGAAGCCATCACTCCTTCCCACAGGCAGACCTCCAGGAAGTTCAAAGCTCTGATAATCTGGAGCAGTTACTGACCACATGGAGCATCTCCATTCCTGGGCTGAGGCCATCTGCACTGTCTGAGAGTGTCTTAGAAGTTCCCAGGGGACAAACAGCATGGCTGTGTCCACCCAAAAGGTCAGTAGAGAGTGAAAATAGAGCCACAGCATGACTACATCTGCGAGTGGAGCCTGCTTCCCATACAGGGCACATCCTGTGCTTTCTGGGGACATCAGCTTCTCCAAGGGGCCCAGGCCTCCCAAAGTTAAGAATTATTAACACAGAAGAAGAGGCCAAGGATTGGGCTTGAAGGAAAGCTTGTATCCTGGTTGGCCAGATAAAGTGGGGAGGGATGACAAGAACAATCAGAGGGAAGGTCAAGAGGACAGGGAGGATGTGGTGGTGTTCACCCACTCACCTGTTCATGCCCCACTGCCCTGGCATCAGCATCCCCTGTGTCTCAAGTGCTTCCTGTCGCTCCGGACCTCCCACATCCCTAGTCGAGGCAAGCTCAGCGAACAGAGGCCCCTGGCCAGGCTTCCACCCAGGTAATGCTGGGGCAGCAGGAGGAGAGGGGGTGTAGCTGAAAGAGCAACCCCCAAAAGAGATGGGTGTATGAGTCAAAGACACGAACACCCAGGTAATGCTGGGGCAGCAGGAGGAGAGGGGGTGTTGCTGAAAGAGCAACCCCCAAAAGAGGAGATGGGTGTATGAGTCAAAGACACGAACGGATACAAAAGGGTAAGAGGAAGTGAGGGTGAGCTTGCCAACCATTGCACAATCTCCCCTGCTCATCAGGTTCAGCTGCGGATGAAGAGACGGAGAGGAGAGCTGTGGGCGTCCACCATGCATGGGCTTAAATCCGCCAGGCCAGTCTGGGTCCCTGGGAACCAGGACGTGGAGGGAGCTCTTCCTAGGCCCCCTGAGCTGAGGGGCAATGGCTAGACCCAGGCAGGCCCCACAGCTTCTACTGGCCATTCTGGTGGCCCTGGTGGCCATCGCCTACCAAGAAAAGAAGAAAACCTTTATTAGTGTCCATGAAGTGCCTGCATCAGAAGCCTTCGTGGTAACCACCTTGGAGTATGTGACCAGTGAGTTCAACCAGGAAAGTGATGACAAGTACAACTTCCGGATTGTGCGTGTCCTGAAGGTCAAGAGGCTGGTCAGTGGGCTCCTCTCCCCCTCTTCCCCGTGCCCCTATGCCAGGGGACTGCTGACAGTCTGGGGCAAGCCCAGAGTGTCACGTGAAATTCAGCCTCATTTAATGAGAAGTGGGCAGCTGAAGAGAGACCTAAGTTCACTGATAAAGTTAAGTTGCTTAAGTGGTGCCCAATACCAGGAGTTGGTACATTGTGGCCCGAGGGCCAAATCTGCCTGTTGCTGCCTCTGTGGTTCATTTCATTGGTTCCCAGCCACACCAGGTGTGCCATGTCCTGTGGGGCTGCTTTTGCGCTGTAATTGCAGAGTTGAGGCCACATGCCCCCAAAGGCTAAATGTTTACTCTCTGGTCCTTTGTAGACAAAGTTTGCAGACCCTGTACTGGAATCATTGGCATCCTTTGGGTTTTCCAAGGGATGGCTTTGCCCACAGAATGGTTTCTAGTGAGTTGTCCTCAAATGACAAAAGGAGGCATGGGAGTCAGATGATTAGGGGAGAGAGGGACCCAGCTCTCTACCCAGGATGGGGTCCTTGCCCTTTGGCACCACGGGAAAGAGGTCCCGGTCCCAGAAGCTATGGAGAAGGAGAAATCTTTGTGTCTCCTTGCCGCCTGCTTCCCACAGGTTACCGACCACATGGAGTACCATGTGAACTTCGAGATGCGGCGGACCACCTGCCATAGGCTGGAAGCCAACAACTGCAGCTTTCAGGAAGGGGAGCTTTACAAGGTACTGGGTGAACTCATTTGTAGTGGGGTTTGCCTGTGGTTTGGGGATGGTGTGGAGTGGAATTATCGGGGCTATATTTGAGCTCGCTTAAAAAGGAAGGAGGGTAACCAACACCTGCTTTCTCAAAACAGAGCAGCGAAGGTGAGAGGGCCCAGACCCTGCCTGGCAGGTCCTGCTCCTTCGTTGCTGGAAAAATAATGGGGAGGTCGAAAGGGTTGAGAGGGGGAAGCGAAGTGGCTGAGCTCCAGGGAACACTTTGCGGCTGAAGGAAGTAGTTAGGTATTTCAGCAGCCAGTGGGACTTCACGGCGTGCCCTGATGAATTTCTGAATATCAGCCTGAAGTTAACACAAAAACCCCTGGGCTACTGGCCTCCGTCCCTTTCGTCCAGCAGTGTGGGAGGCAAAATGGGAGAGGAGATAAGAAATTGAGTTCAGAGATAGTTTCATGGGTGGTAGGAGTGGGTTGGGGTAAGGGAGGTCAAACCTGTATGTGTGTGATCTGCTGAGGAACCACCTCCTGCAACAGTGGCTTAGTCCCCTCCTCTCCCCGCCCCCCACGCTTCATTCCCATTCAGTGTTGTCACATCCGAGGGAGGCTGGCCAGACATGCATAGCTGCAGTGTGTCGTCAGGATGGGCCCACTTGTATAGGGCCTTGAAGGTCTCAAAGCCCACAGGCCCTGCATATCGCTTCTTTTACCCAAATGAGTTAGAATGAGGATGATCCTATGTCCCACCCTGCCTGGATAGTCCTGACTTGCACCTAGCTTCTTTGTGTCATCACTAATGGCATCCCCATTTGCTTACAACATGTCCTGGTTCATCAATTATATGGTGACCCTGGTTGTAATGGCCTGGGGTGTTCTCGATGTAGAAACGTGTGATCAGGAGCTCCCTCTGCACTTTCGTTACAAATAATTCTTCAAAATCTAGCAAAATGGACTTTTTTAGTTCTTCCCTGAAGAAGATCATGAAATCTATTAACAAAGTAATTGAAGATAGCAGTAAAGTAAAATTAGAGGCTCTTATTGATATGACTCATTTAATTGGTGGAATTAGTATTCTGATTTCTATTTTAGGAAAAATGTAAATGCATACTTAAGCCTCCCACCACCACCACATCCCCCAGCCTGGACTTTCCAATGAAGAGCAGGAAAACAAACTGACACTATAAAATGATAATATGCAAAATGTATTTATTGATTTTTCATTATGGAGGAAGAAGGAAGTTAAAAAGAATATCTTGAGAGAGAATAGGGGCAAGGGAGAGAGAGAGAGGGTGTGATGAATGAGTATATAAATGGATAAATGGAGGATGGGAGGAAGGAAGAAAAGATGCATGGACTGGGTGAAAACAAGGTGAAAAAAGGAAGGCTATATTGATGGAAATAAGGATGGATGGAGATGGATGAGAGGATGGATGAACGGATTGATGAAGCCAATACAGGTCAAGGAAGAAAAAGTGTGAAGTAAACAACACAAGTAAAAATGAAGAGGGAAATCAATCAGTGAATATATGCGGCGGGGTGGGGGGGCACTTTATTTCTAGTCTCTAAGTTTAACTACAGATAGAAGAACATTTTCTGGGATGACCTCAACTCTAATACTATCAAGTGATTAAAATCACAATAAAGAATAAACCATCCACAAGTATTATATCCTCTTCTTTCCCCTTTAAAATTTCCACCTTGCATGTTATCTTTTTAAAATATTGTTTTTTGTTTCTTTGTTTTTTAGCAAATTGAGTGCTTTTACTCAGTGTTTGTTGTCCCCTGGTTTGAAAAGTACAAAATTCTGCGCAAAAATTGCACCAATGGCTAGGTGACCTGGAGCACACACCTGTGGTCACTATATGTGAAAGTATCCTGCAATTAGTAGTAACTCCCTGTACAGAAAATAAATGTTTGTCCACCTATTCTCTTAATGTTCTTAATGTGTAAAATTCCATTTTCCCCCAAATTCTTCAGTTCATAATAATATAGTCTGAAGGTCTTCTGGGCAGGGGTCCAAATGAAATGACATGAATAATTTCTGGCCTTATAGCCTACATAACCTGCATGATAGCAGAACTTCAACACTATCCTCACATCCAGGAGGTTTCTTTAGATTAAAACAAAACGGAGAAAGGGGAAAGAAGAGAGAAGAGGAAAGAAACGCTAAGACAAGAGATAGTGGCAAGTATGGACGATGATGGCATCTCTGAGGAGTCCAATAAAGAGCATCTCCTTTCTTGTCTAACATGCAAAACACAGAGAAATAACATAACTACAAAAGCTAAAAGGCCTTTGTTGCTGATCAGGACTAAGTTGGGAGCTGTGCCATTTTGATAGGCAAGTGCACTTCCTAATACCAAATTCTAGAATTCAACTTACACGCCCAACATCAGCAACATTGGACCAGAGCAGGTCTCTTCACAAAGAGGTTCCTCTCCTGGAGTTGACAAGGAAAATGTGTGCCCCCGGTGGGAAAGAGTAGGACCTGGACTACAATGCCCAGTTTTTTCTTCCCAAATAGGCCAATTCGATTAAGTCCTCCTGGAGAGAAGTGATGAGGACAGCAAAAGCAGGGAGGCTATGGAGGGGCCCCTCTTCCATGGATGGCGATTAGCAGTGGAGAATAAACAGCACCCAACAACGTGATTCAGGATTTTAAACTAAGTCACCAGGCTGATCTCTCCACTCTACTTCTCCCTTTGCAAACTTAGCTCTGTGTCCTTTCACTATCATGGATCACAGCCATGAGTATGACTCTATGCTAAGTCCTGGGAATCCTTCTAGTGAATCTGATAGTGGGGGGTTGGTCTAGGGCAGTGGTTCTCAACCTTCTGGCCTTTTAAATACAGTTCCTCATGTTGTGACCCCAACCATAAAATTATTTTCGTTGCTACTTCATAACTGTAATGTTGCTACTGTTATGAATTGTAATGTAAATATCTGATGTGCAGGATGGTCTTAGGCGACCCCTGTGAAAGGGTCGTTCAACCGCCAACGGGGTCGCGACCCACAGGTTGAGAACCGCTGGTCTAGGGTGTCTTGGACACACTCAAAAAGACATGTGTCAGTCATGGAATTGTATGTGCATTGAGAAGAAACAAAGCTCCCTCAAGCTTGGGTCAGAGGTCAAGATGTGCCCCAGAGATACGGGCTGATGTAGAAAAAGTTATGAGATTCCTTCAAATACATAACAACCTTCTGCTCAAATTGAACCAGCCCTCTAAAGACCACTGTCTATGTACATGAGTGAGTGTGAATGTGAGTGAGAGTGTGTAAATTGTGTTTGGGTTTATGTGAGTGTGTGTGTATGTGTGTGTGTGAGCGCTGTGTGAGTGTGTGAGAGTTAGTGCATATGTGTGTACATGTGTGAGTCTGTGCGTAGTGAGACCCTGTTGAGGGGGATGAGGTCCTTCCGGGGGTCTGTAATAGAAAATGCACAGCACAGCCATCTAAGTTTTCATCGAGGATCTTTGCACAAACCCATTTACTAGTAGGCCACCAGACAGGAGTTGTTCCAAAGCTCGTAATAGTTGATCCAGGGCACAGTGTATATCAAAAAATCGCAAATGAAACTCTGTGGAAGGAGAAAGGCACAATCAGCTTTCAGGGAAATCTCCTGCCCCGAGACCCTCGGTGAGAGTTTAGAACCATTGCTGAGGCTGCACACTGGCCATGTGGGTGGGGAGAATCTGCTCAGTCATCTGGAGGGGGCAGAGGGAGCTGAGGGGGTTCAAGGCCCAGAACAGGAATGTCACCTGGGGCTCCCTCTGCCCAGCTACTTGGGAGCTGGAGCAGGCACAACTGGAAAGCCCTCCTCGGACCCCAGTCCCCAGGCACATGCACTCAGGCACAGGGAGACTGTCATATTTGCCAGTAAGTGGTGCCACCCAGAGGAACCAGGAAAAGAGTGAGCAAATTCTTGAAGACAAGGAGGCAATTAAACAATCCTCAGCGGCCTGGAGAGTGCAAGCCATGACCAGAACAAGGTCCCCATGGGAAAAAAAAATGCTGCTTCCACTGAAGGCTGGGAATGGTCCTGGAGACCTGGAGGCCAGGGTCCAGGTCTGTGCCATGCCCGGGGGGGGGCGGGCTGTCCAATCAGAGAGCCTCCCTCCTACCCCCAGCACCTCTGGTGGTTTCAGCAGCCCTGGGGCTGTGCCCTTGCTATGCCCCAATCCACACAGCTGTAAAAGCTGTCAATGTCCAATTTGTGTTAACTTTTAAAGTTTTGACTTTTCTCCCTTTGGTTAGGAGTCTCTTTTCAGATGACTGCCACCACACACCTTCTTCTTCTTCTTTTCGCTTTGTCGGGGGCATGAATGACTTTTTGTGCTGTTCTTTTTGCACTTCGTCCGGCTAATCTTTACGGTGGCCAGATACTCCACTCCTGTTGTCAGCTACAGAAAAGCAATAGCACTGTTAGTCTGGAGTCAAAGCATCCAGTTGCTGGCTCTCTCCAAGGAAGGCTAGAATGGAGAGTGAAGCCCCAGGAGCCACGTCCCTGGGTCTGGCTCACCCACCCAAGCATGGCCCCCTCCTCTCCCTCCAGCTTGAGGCTGCACAGTGGCACTAAGGCCCCTGGTCAGTGCCCAGCATGTGCATAACCCATTCCCTGGCTCTGCACTGGACTCACTGCAACAGGCACAGATGGATCGCACCTATCCCCTCTGCATCCTCAGACAAGGTAGGCAACACATTGAGCTTGGCTGACTGAGTGCCAGAGCACCCCCAGGTCTGCACACATGGTCCTCAGAATGCATAGAACCAGCCACACCTTATCCCTCTGCTCTCCCAGCCCCTTCAGCCATGTCCTCCTTCTCCTCCCTCCTTCCCAGCCAACCTGATGGGAGGCGGTCAGCAACACAGCTCAAAACATAAGCTTGGAGGATTCAAGTGGGCTGCAGTGTAACTTGTAGCTATGCACCCTTGCTCCCAGCCAAGGACTGGAATTACAGTTCAAGTACTTTGCAATCAATTTGAAAAGTCAAGAGAAGTGCAGCTGGTTGGATATATATCTAAGGAGCACCGAAGAAACAACATAGAACTGGAAAGAGAAGGGGAGTCACGGAAAGGGGAGGATTCAAGTGGGCTGCAGTGTAACTTGTAGCTATGCACCCTTGCTCCCAGCCAAGGACTGGAATTACAGTTCAAGTACTTTGCAATCAATTTGAAAAGTCAAGAGAAGTGCAGCTGGTTGGACATATATCTAAGGAGAACCGAAGAAACAACATAGAGACTGGAAAGAGAAGGGGAGTCACGGAAAAAGAAGGAACTCTTACCCTTTGCAACAGTATGGATGGACCTGGAGAGTATTATGCTAAGCTAAATAAGTCAGTCAAAGAAAGATAAATACCATATGATCTCACTAAGATGTGGAATCTAATGAACACAATAATCTGATAAACAAAATAGAACTGGAAGCATGGACACGTGGGTCAGACTGACTGTTGCAGGAGAGGAGAGGGGTGGGGATGACTGGATAAAGGTGAAGCAATTAGCTAAAGATCATATGTGCATACTCCATAAGTCAGTCAAAGAAAGATAAATACCATATGATCTCTCTAAGATGTGGAATCTAATGAACACAATAATCTGATATACAAAATAGAACTGGAAGCATGGACACGTGGATCAGACTGGCTGCTGCAGGAGAGGAGAGGGGTGGGGATGACTGGATAAAGAAGGTGAAGCAATTAGCTAAAGATCATATGTGCATACCCCATGGACACGGACAATAGTCTGGTGAAGGCCAAGGGAGGGGGAGGTGCCTGTGGATGAAGGTGGGCAAAGGTGGGGAGAAAGGGGAACACCTGCAACAATGTCAACATTAAAATTGTTAATAAAAAACCCATAAGCTTAGGACTCTAACTGATTTGGAGCATGTGTTCTCCATACAGGAATGCTGTGACCTTGAGCCTAGCAGCCTTAGTTTCCTCACCGATAGAGTATAGGTAATAATTATGCCTATTCTAGGAGTTGTTACATGACAGCGGTTCTCAACCTGTGGGTCGCAACCCCTTTGGAGGTCGAACGACCCTTTCACAGGGGTCACCTAAGACCATCCTGCATATCAGATATTTACATTATGATTCATAACAGTAGCAACATTATAGTTATGAAGTAGCAACGAAAATAATTTTATGGTTGGGGTCACAACATGAGGAGCTGTATTTAAAGGGCCAGAGAGTTGAGAACCACTGGGTTAACAGAAGCACGCATTTCACTGAATGCACAAAATACATTTCCAAGTAACTACATAATTACGAATTATTAAATGTTTTAACAAGTGTTGGGAACATTACTCTGAGGTATCAATGGAGTTGGGAGAGTGTCAGAACAGAAGACAGAAGAATTGAGCTCAAGTTCTGGCTTTATCCCCTGCCAACTTTATCTGAGCAAGTAGAGTCCCTCCACCTACCTGAGTCTCAGTTTCCTCATCTAGAAAATGGGAAGGATAGTGCCCATTTCCTCTGATGATGTATGGAAATGGTGAATATATAAACCATGGAGAATGCACACAAGAGCCACTTCCTCTTGTTGTGATTTGTCTTCTTATCGTACTCATGTTCAAGTGCAAGATCCGAAGACGCAAGGGCAAAAGACTGGGAAAGCCTTTGGTGGCAGGTAAGCCCCACACGCAGAGGTGAAACTAATACATGGTTGTGTTGGAAATGGCTGAATTTCCCAGTAACTGTGTGGACTAGTCACTAGAGAGTTGTGCCTGGTGAGGGGAGAAGCTCCTAGAAGTCTTGCTTCCTTGTCCAAATGCAGTGGCCAATCACATAAGAAGGCTTGTACTCTCGTGGTGAGAGAGGCAGGGAGAGAGCGCTCATACCGCCCCTGAGAGGAAAGCGCCACTACAAAACCTCAAGGTGTGCAGTGTGGCTGGGGGAGGAGGCCTGAGGGCAGTACCACCACCCTGGTCCCCACGTCTAAGGGAAGAACCTCAGGATGCAGGGCTCCTGAGTTCTTCATGAAGGGACAGTTTCATCCAAGCACTGGAAGCTTGCAGGGCTTGTGCCAAGTATTGTCGCATTGATGTTCAGCACATTCTGCATGTATGGAGAAACTAAAACATTGGCCATAAATTTAACTAACATGCCAATGAATGTAGTGCTTTCTTATTCATTATAAGACTTGACTGTTAAATAATAATAGGAATTATCATAATAATACAAATATTTTCATAAATGCTGCTTCACTCTTTTCTGCCTACTTTGCAAGTGAGTCAACTGAGGCTGCAGGTATGGATGGCACTTGACCAAAATCCCATGATTAGGAGGATCTGGATGTCAAACTCAGAAGGTGCCCACCTCCTGCATCCCTCTGTGAGGTATTAGAACAAACACAATCATGCCGTAACAGGTGTGGGGATGCCCAGGGATCCTTGCCCCAGATCACCCAGCTACCAAAAGGCATATTCTCTCTGTCAATTCATCCATTTGAATGACATCACATGTTTACTCACAAACAACTCTTTCAGAGGTAACTGTTAATGGCAATGAATTGATTCCACAAGACAGGCCTCCTGAGATGGTCAGATTTATCCTTGGGAAGATAAGAGGCTAACAAGCCAACTTCAACAAGAAAGTTGGTCAAGGGCTGCCACCTTGTGGCTAAGTCACCTCAATGTTAGGCTTTAACAAGCCACAATTTTGTGGCAAGGGTGAGTTACTGAAAAAGAACAAGCTGATGCCTATGAGGCCCATTTGTGTCTCATAAACACTGCCCATCCCTCTCTGCCCCCTGCCCTGGCTGTTTTCTCCCATTCCCACTGCTCCTCTCTAATCAGTCCAGCGATTTTCAATCCATGTGTCGCAAGAGACACACCGGTGTGTC